AAACATAGAAAACATACTATCATTGGGGATAGGTGCAGTCACGAAAGTGAATTAGGGAGGCAATCGTCAGGCTAATTCCAAGGGCTGAAGTATCGGCACCCCGAACTACACCATGAAAGCACGGACAATTTAGATGTGAATTCATTTGGCGCGCCAACGAACAACACTGGCTGTGGTCCAAAGAACGAGTCAAAGTTGAGAGTTGATAATAAAACAAAAATATATTCTCAATTACGGCAGATCAAACAACACACAAATATGCACTGTCAGAAATACAGTTAAACCTGGATATAACGAAATTGGTGAATACATGAAAAAATTCGTTATATAAAGGATTTCGTTATATGCAGGTTCAGTACGAAAATTCAGAAAATAAACGGGCAAATTAAACAAAAGGGGGACTGAAGGCAGAGCTAAACCAAAACACTTATTTTGCAGCAAAAAATTTCCTTATTATTGCGATAGCAATTATATGGACACTCTCGGCGTGTTTTCGCTGTCGCCGCCATGTTCCGTAACAAGTCCAAATTGATAACACGCCCCCGCGCATCGTAACTTTCACGAGCGGGTAAAAGCGCGTGAGCGCTGCTGAAGCAGAGATCAAATGAGTCAGCCCGTCCTTATTGACTGGAAAGTGCATAACATCTCCCGCGTGTTAGAACTGCCCTCGAGTGCTCAAACAGAAAGTAAATTACCTGCATTAAATGAGCATGAAACAACGCGGGGGTGGGTGGGACTGTTCGAGTAGCAATAATGAACTTGGATTTTAAGGACGGTCACGATCGCTGGCGCACTTGCTATCTCTGTGAGTATCAGTGCAGTTTCAACGCGAAGGGGCTGTGAAAAGGGCGAGGTGATCTTTGTGTTCCCGGCAAACGCAAACGCTCCGGTTAAAGTCGAAGGCGGGCTATTCTCCCCACCGAAGGATAAGCGCGCGCGCGCAAGCATCTAACACCCTCCTACCGCATGAATGAAGCAAAGTACGATAAGCGCGCTTCGGCGCATCGTGACGAGCTGGGTGCTGAGTGCGGGCGGCTTTTTCAAAATTATTTTTTGAGCTTTCATATATATAGGTACGTATACATATAGGGTGTTGCGTTTGGCGGGCCACCCTTTCGCCGCGGCCTCTAAAATGGAAGAAAGGCAGCCGGCTCATTTTGTGGACATAAGGAGCAGCGCCAAGACGCCCTGCTGTTTCCATGCGCTGGGTGCTGAGTGGCTGAAATTACTCTACGGAGCACTACTGTCCTTCGGGTCCGCGCAAAGGTGCGACACGTGGCGTCTTCGGGCCACAATGCCGCGATGCCGAGCTTCCGTCGATTACGGATGCCGGACCACCACGCTGTGCGTCTCTCACTGATGAGCCGCCGACGCTCAAATCGACACCAGATGTCCAGGCATGGCGCCTCGGAGGCTCCTAGGCTGCGACTGCCGTTCGACAAAGCATGGGTGGTCGGCCCAAGCGGCGAGATGACAGACTCGTTTCACCCCGCTCAAGCAAGATTCGCTGAAGGAGGCAGCATCACCGGGACCATACACGTGTTTGTTTTGTGTATGTGTATTTATTGGGGGCGGTGCCGGCATAATGACACTCGTGTGTGCTGTGGGACATGTTATCGGACAGTGCCGTATGTACCTATTCCCGGATCTAGGAATCTGGAGAGATGAGACTGTATTTAATCAGCCCTCGCGGGCTGCTTAGGGTGGTTTACGGAGCTTGTTCAATAGACAGCTTTTTTCGATGTAGAGCTTCGGGCCAGAGAGCCCGCACCATGTAAATAATGTAAATAAACCCTCTCTACGAAGGTCAACCTCCTCCTGCCTTGACATCTTTATTTATTTATTTATTTATTTGCAATACTGCCAGTCTCTACTGAGACCATAGCGGTTGGGCACTCTGTACAGATGCTATGATTGCTCATTATAGTAAAGAAACTGTAATACAGAAGATAAAAGCAACATCAACCTGGCACTTTGTGCATTAGCAATGTTTACACAACATAATAAACAAAATACAAGTGCATACAAAAATGGCAAGTTTAACAATAAGGCCGCTTACATGGCTGTTTACAGAACATACAAGTAGTACATGCTGGTTTCATTACCATTGTCACTGGGTATTTAAAAAAGCTAAGAATTGTTTTCGATTTCTAACTCAAACTGAGACAGTGACTCAGTGTTGGTGATGTGAGGGGCCAACATGTTCCATTCACGAATAGCAACTGGAAAAAAAGAATATTTAAACACATCAGTGTTGCATTTGTATTGTACTAATGTGTGAGTGTATTTCTGTCTTGTGGCTCGTGTTTGTGAGTAAGATCTCTTGATCCCGGATCTCCGGTGCCGCTAACTCCGGTTGCAACAAGGGTGAATGAAGGCAACGGTGGTGGCAAAAAAAAAAAAAAAAAAAACTAACAGTCGAGACTGTTTATATACATAATTGCTATCGCAATAAAAAAAAGCAAAGCTGAACGTCGTCGGGGGGGGGGGGGGGGGGGGAAACACACACACCATGCGAACGCAGTGAAACTATGCACGCGTGCAAGACATCAAAAATGAAATGCGAGCGCCACAGAGACAGACACGGATATCGCGGAAAACGATTAGGTGAAGCGCCCTCCGTATCCAGCGCGGACCCACATATGTGACGCTAATGAAAAGCGTGGCACTGCCAACGCGCAAATTTTTTTTTTTTTTTTTTGAGAGAGAAAAAGGGGGCACACCCGCACATGCGACCGCGGCGACGAGAATGGGGGCAACGCCTCACCCGAACGCGTGCTTGCCTCCGAAGCGGCGGCGGCGGCGGGGCAGCCGTTGAAGATGCATGCTCGTAGCAAAATGCCAAAATGCGAAGCAAAATTTCTATATTGTCCGTGGAGAGAATTCGTTATATCAAGGTTGTCTCCCGCAGTTGTTTTGTTACATAGAGGTCGCTTCTATGGAGCGACGGCGGGGAATATAAAAACTTCGTTATATCGAGGAATTCGTTATACGGAGGTTCGTTATAAGCAGGTTTAAAGGAGCACCGACATCAAATTTCAAGATCGAAAGGTGCCCATCATTCGATCACTTGGTATGCATAGGTCTTCTTGGCCAAATTTGAACGGCATCCGTCGCGTGAAAGTTGTTTTAGTTTTATGTCAAACAGCGTAGAAAACCTCAAAGTTCAAAGCACGGAAAAAGCGCAATGAGGGTGTCTTTTTATATCGCGCATCTTACACATCAACACGACAAGCTATCAAAAGTCGAACAGCATATAGTCAGATATCATCGCTAACAAGTAACACGCAGGTATCGTTGAATTTTAGTTCATCTGTAGACTGCGTCCATGTAAAAGTAGCAATACTGTGTTAATCGCGAGAGGCTGGATAGGTGGGCATCTGGAGGCACAAAAAAGAACCTGGCAAGCTGGAAACGTATTCTATTTCTCCGTTGATGCTCATTCGCTATAGCTATATTGCATTGACCCCTCTACGTACACCTGAACGCTTTGCGCGCCAAAACACACCAATATAGTTAACTGAGACACATGAGCGAACATGGCTGAAGCGTGCATCCTCGGGCACCTCTGCAGGGCTACTTGGAACGACATTCATTTCGGAATTCCTGTTGTGCAAAAGGTCGATCGAAGCAAAAATAATTTGCGATGTCCCGAATTGCGGGGATTCCAAGCTCTAGGCTATAATATTGAACACGAGTCGACACTTTGTACGATGACGACAGCAGTGCAGGTGACAAGGCATGACTGAATGCGTCCGCCTAGCAGACGAAATGTTTGCGGAGCAGCTGAGCAACACGGCACTCTTTTCTGTGGTGAAGTGGTCAGCTGTGGCCTGATCTGGAGGTAACCGCGAGGTAGCGCCACTGCTGGTGCTCCCAGCACTAGAAATGGCGGGATTACCGGCCGTTTCGAATAGTGCTAGATACCAGTGATATAAATCAATAAAAGTGATAGTTATTCATCCCTCAGTTGCGTTTTAGGTCGCGAATCGCTGCTACGGGGTCTATAGTTGCTCGCTGATGCAAAAATCTTGGCATGAGTAAATTTGATGTCAGTGCTCCTTTAACTGTAATCCAATACAAAACGTCTCCAATCACATTGTACTTTTGACAGCGGGTACACAACACAGCAAGATATACTCAAAACAATGGGCATAAACAACATGTGCTACAATGCAATCTCATGCACTGAACAAAACACTTAAAAGACTAAAAGGTTCATGAAACCTATTCAGTCCAAAGTTCTTGGAACAATGTGGAATGATTTTCTTCAAGGAACCACTCACTCAAAGTCCGGTGCTGATTGTCGTTTCGTTGCTCCCGATGTTTCTCTTCTGGGTACCTCGCATCGTCAAATGTCCGCACTCCAATAAGAAAACTTCTTCACTGGTAACACGTCGGCCACTCACGTGCTGCGGCTACAGAACGCGACTTTGCCCACAAGCGGTAAACACACTCTTTTCCTGCTTGTAATACAAGCCTTCAACCGCAGTTGGAAAACCTCTTCAACTCATCTACTTGGTCATTGTAGAACCAGTACTTCGCCTGATGGCGGCAAACCCTCATCTCCCGCTCTCCACCCTCCGCTGCTCGCTTATATACGTTTGCCCTGAGTTCTGGAAGGTTCGTTGGCGTGCTGTACAGCCTAAGTTGCGGAAGAGGGATGAGACTCCTTTCGAACGATCCGCGACACATGACGCAACTAGGAGTCACTCATGCTTTCTTTCACGGTGGTTCCGGAGGTTGCGCGCCGATAGGTGCGAGGAGGTTGGTCAGTGTAGCGATGAGGTGGGGGGGGGGGGGGACTGCACTATCAAGAAGTCCTTTGATGCTTGTTTTTTTTTTTTTTTTCTTTTTTTACGCTGGCTTTTGGTGCGTCCGAGCGGTGCCTGGTATTGTCGCCATCGCTAGAATTAGGTGGTGTGCGCTTTCTTGAGCGCTTGTTTGTGACATTCATCACTGTTGTGCATCTCCTCACCTTGTGTTTTCTTTCACTGCAGAGCCCGAGCCCAAGGAGACCCGTGGCGCATACCGGCCACCACACCTGCGCTCGGGTGCCGCTGCTGCTGCACGCACCCTGCCTCACAGGGGTCCCGTCGACCTATGCGCCAAAATTACGACTTCACCAGCGAAGAGCAGTTTCCCTACCCTAGGTGCCGCCATTGACACCAAAGCACCTAGGCAAGTGTCGACAGTTCATAGTTCTTTAAGCTCTTCCCAAGCATGACGACTTGGAAGCCTTCTATCATGTCATATACCAAATACGTTGTATGAGCAGCCTTCAATGTACAGCGAAATCTCGATGCAACAAATCATAAGGGACAACAAGAAAAAAACAAAGATTCATTATTTTAAAAAGTAATTGTAGTGATGCATCAAACATTTGCGCAAATAATATATATACAACCCTGTGAGTCTCCTACCTGTGCCATGTATACATTCGCGACCGTGTTACGCTCTAATAAGCACTAAAAAAACAAACACGAAATTACACGAATATTACATAATCAGTGCATGTTTATATGAGAAAGAGCGCGATCTATCCTGATGTGGGCAGCTTGACTGACTCTGAAACATGCGCATCCTTCTTATGCACAGCTAAGCGTCGGTGTTAAATACAGGTTCTTCGTGGTGGTTCACATGCACGGTTTTCATGTCAATGCTCTCGTCGTTTCACGCCTAATGGTACGAATCTAATTGGTCGTCAGCTGAGCTCACATGCATGCTTCGTCGACACACTGTGCGTAGTGATCAAGTGTTAGTAAAACATGCTCTAGCAGTCATTGGCGACTTCATCCCATAGGTGACTCACGTCGCATGTTTCACTGTCATAGCATTCCTTTCGTGCTGCTTTTGGAGCTCATCTCGAACGTTTAATCACAAACTGTTAGGCTGAGAAAACAGCCCTGTAACAAGCGCACAGGTAAAGCCGCCCGACGAAAACTAGAACTACAGGCGAAGCCTGACGTGAAAATATGCGCCACAAGCAAGTACCATGTGATGGTGGCAATAGGGCTAACGCACATTTGGGTCGGGTGGGTGCCGTAGAGAAATACGCGGGTGCTCTGAAGTTGAAGGTAGTGGCAGGGACAGAGCTGAACATCCTTTCCAAAGCCACGGGTACCGTGAAAACTGAAATATACGTTGTACTGCAATGTTGGTGGACCCCCAAACTTTGAATCTTTAAAAACGAAATATTTAAAAATCTCAAAAGTATCACGCCACACCCTTATGACTATTGGTCTCTGGTCTCTTTCAAACTTTCAGCTGCGGTTAATTTTAACTCGAGCGTTAGCATTCTCCCAAACAGCCAACTTGCTGGCTCGGAGGTATAATTTTGACCAGATATACATATTTTTTCATATTTATCGCAGGCACTCGGATCATTCGGAGCATGTGCTGTACATTTATTTACTTATTCTATAAGATTGCGTAATTTTTCTACCACTGCTGGGTCTGTTCTATGAACGTAACATTCATTGAATGTTCTTTAAATCACCATGGAAAACCTGGAAAAGTTGGCGAATTAAAAAAAAAGCAAATTGGTTGAGACCCTGTACCCAGCATACTGCTTGATGCAATATACAGTTCACTTGAAGGTGAAGGCCTCAATCGATGAGAAAGCATTAAACACAATGTTGCTGGAGCCAACGTTTTGATGAGCCCAGTTGTAGAAATATTGACCCTAATGACACTTCATGTGTACCAGTTTTTCATCAGAATACTGTATAATATGCTTTAGACCGCTTAGAACGTAAGCTGCCCAACCTTAACAGTTTCTATAGTGTGAGCTGTCCCACAGTATAACGGCAGGGGGAAAAAAACATCCTTTTCAAATGTTTGCACACATGCAAAGCATGTCAACACAGCGGCGGCATGTATCCTAGAACAAGGCTTGTGACCCGGCTGTTTTTGCATTCGTTTTAAGTTTACAAATTTTATGCATGCAGCCAACAAGCGGCCACTTCCACGCTGAAGTAGCGGCTTCTTCATTGCTTAGGCACCGTTCCCCCTTCCTCACTTTGTGTGCAAGTAACGCGCTGCCTCCTCGGACGTTTACCGTATTTACTCGATTCTACCGCGCCCTCGATTGTAACGCGCACCCGATTTCCACCGCGAAAAAAAAAAAAAAAACGTAAGACACCGATTGCAACGCGCACCCATTTTTCTCACTGGCCCGCACGATCACACCACGCGAAAAAACTACTCCTTTCGAGAGCGTCTTCCATTTAAATATGAGGTACGGGCGAAGCTTGTGCCCATCTGACGTGTAACAAAGCATTGCCGTCACAGTAGTTTTACCGTGGACCGATGTCAGCACGTGAACTTGCTTCGCCCCCTTCTTCTCGACGGTTGTGGTGCCAGGCATGTCGAAGTAAAGAGGCGTCTGATCGGCACTCCCGATTTGCCCAAGCAGGTAGCCGTTGTTGCGCCGCAAGATTAGGACGAACCTCTGAAAACTGTGAAGCTTTTCATCGTACTCCTCCGCAAAACTTTTCGCATATGCATGTTCCCCTTCGGAGGGAAAAGCCTTTCCTCTTCATAAAGTTAGTTAGCCAGCACCTGCTCGCTTTCAAACTGGCTCTGCATTAGACCTTTTTCTAAGACTAATTGCATAGCCCTGCACTTGGAGCAGTTCTGTCGTCACGGGCCGCTGTGCCGCTCGCTGCTCAAGCACATACTCGCCGAGCAGCTCTTTAATTTGCGGAAACCGACCCTGCTGTGGTCCACTGAAGCCTTTGCATGAAGCTTTGCTGTCGACAATCTTCTGCTTTTGTTTCCGCCGGTCCAGCACGCACGTTTCGGGAACTCTGAACGACCGCGATGCGGCCCGATTTTCGTTCGTTTCTGCACACGCAATGACTTTTCTTTTAAAAGCGGCATCATGGTGCACTCAATTTTTTGGAGTCGGCCCTTCCACGCCGTCGATGCTAATGCACTACTAGGTGACAAACTCCTCAGCACACGTATGAAGTGCCACACATGGGAAACACATTGGCAGAAATGGCCAACGCGCCATGCCGACGCACGTAGGGGGCGGCCATTTTGTATTTGTCGATGGCAATAGACTGACCGTAATTCTTTTGTTCGTACTCGATTCTAACGCCCATGCGATTTATGAACTCGCTTAAACCGGAAAAAAGGTGCGCGTTAGATTCGAGTAATTACAGTAATAGCAGAGCGTTTCAAGCTTTTGGTTTGCCCATGGACCGCTGAGAGAAAGCTTGGCCGAGCTGTGCACCCCTAAACATTGCCTAGCAACCACCTGGCATAGGCAGAGCTTGGCCGTGAAATCACGGGCGAGTAACAGCTTGGAACCGCAGGGCACGGCGACAGACTAGAGCACTGCACGGGCTGATTTTTCCGGCCTGTTTCAGCCAAATATGTCATTAGCATAAACGAAGCACTGTCCAATCTTCGATTATTGTGTGGGTACCTGCAGCCCACAAGACAACTTGTAAAGAGGGTTTTGAGAATTTCTTTCAGGGCCACAACTTTTACTGTTTCCGCGTAAATTTTTGGTGAATTACCCGTCTAACACTTTTGGGAAATAATCATAGAGCATTGTCAAATAAATTGGAGTCATAGCTGGTGCTCTCATCTACGCAGTGCTAACCACGCTACCTCATTTTTGCATTTCAAAGAGAGAGTGCAAAGTATATCAGCCGCATGAAGTGGAAAAATACCAGGCATTTATACTCAGACTCTATATAAAGTGCATATGAGCTGTGGCTATCGAGTCAATGTGGCAAGTCTCCTTCAAATTTCGTTTATTGCACAATGGAATAAAAAAAAATGCCGCCTGAATCGTCGGGGGGGTGGGGGGGGGCGCAAGCTAGTGCATCGCAGAGGGGGGGGGTTTAGAATGAATGTTGCATAGTTGGGTATGGTATGGGAATGCTTAATTGTTCATCATCAGCCTGGCTACGCCCACTGCAGGGCAAAGGCCTCATGCATGATCCGCCAATCAACGCCGTTTTGAGCTTTCTGCTGCCACGTTATACCTGCGAACCTTTTACTACTTTCTGTCTCCACTTCATGCGTTGCCTTCTCTGGGAATCCGTTCAGTTAGCTTTAGTGACGAGCAGTTATCCTGCCTGTTGTGCTACGTACCCTGCCCATGCCCATTTGTTCTTTTTTTTTTTGTCTTTATTATTTATTGAGTGAAAGAGAAGCATTGAATTCAACGTCAATAGTAAGCCAAGACGCCCTTGACAGAATTTCGAACATGTAATCCAGAGTGCGATCAATAAGGTTTTTTTTAGAGGCGAAGCTCCTTAGGGCATGGGCTGTGCGTCCTCTGTATGTAGCCACCTCTAGTTTAGTTCTTGCAGTGTTCACTAGATGGCGGTACCGTCCCCTGTATGTAGCCACCTCTAGTTTAGTTCTTGCAGTGTTCACTAGATGGCGGTACCGTCTCCTGTATGTAGCCACCTCTCGTTTAGTTCTTGTAGTGTTTACTAGATGGTGGTACTTGTAGCTGATGATGAAAAGATGCAAGATGTTATAAACTAGAAAGCGGTACTTGTAGTTTATGAAAGACGCGAGATCTTATAAAATAGGAATTATGTCACATATGGCGCGTGTCATTGGTTGAAGGCAATCGTTCGATTTAATGCGGCGACGTACGCTAGGGGGAGCGATGTAATAAAATCGAGTGGGCAAAATGTACAGAGGATTCATGGTTTACCAGGTTCACCTCCGGAGCTTCGCCCACTCATCATCATTCACTTCGTGGATATGGCGGAACTTTTTTTTTTTACTAGCAGACGCTGCCTGTGTCGGCCTTTCGAGGCTAGAAAGGGGGAAGGAGTGGCATGTTTGCAGGTGTCTGCCTGGGCCAGCACAAGGCGCTAACTGCTGCCAATGCTGGAGCTCAAAGTGGATCTCGCGGCGTAGCTGCTCCAGATCTTCGAATTGAACATACAGAGAACACTATATCTGCTAATGGAATAGACCTGTTGCGCATAAAGCAAAAGGAAGTATTACCAGAAGTGCTCCGAATCTGCCAATGAATGACACCATAAGAAATGCTCCACACTTAAAACGTGCTTTAGCTGCTTCTGGCAGGAAAACACCAGGCTGGGTAGCGTTAAGTAAAGCTTTCGTATCGACTTCCTCTGTAAGCAACTGTCCAATCGTACACTATGTTCTTGCTCTTGAAACAAGTTTTTCACCCC